AAAAAATATAATGTAAAAAAAAAAATCTGAATTAACCAAATATAAGCGAAGAAGCTGTGAAAATAACAATTTTTTTTTATTGGGCTTTATTTGATATATTTATTTTGGTTTCTAAAAAGTTATTTCACATTTTGTGTTTATATTTATTGTCACCTAAATTGTTAAATTTGTAATTAGTTTTATACAAAACAATGTTGTTGTTTTTTTTTTTTTAAGCTTATGAATATTTGCCAACAAAAGTTACTGTTGCGGGTGATGCAAGACACGACTCTCCCGGGCACTCAGCAGAGTTTGGTCTATACACTATTATGGACACAATAAATGATGTCATAATATCATCTAAGACAGTGACTGTTGGCGAGAAGGACGTGCCAAATTCATATTGGCTGGAGAATGAAGGACTTAAAAGATGTTTGAAAGAGCTGAAGGTTAGTAAATTTGTTTTTCTACAACAAACAATTTGTACACAACATTAATGATATTTTTAAGGATGCAGGATGCTAAATTTATTTAAATGGAGTTCCTTAAACTATTTGTCACAATTTGTTGCTAAGAGAATTACCTGTTATATTTTCTCAAAAATTTGCTTAAATGAATATGAGCAGCCTCCTCACTACAGTTTTACTCCAATCATCATGAAATTGTCACCATAAGCATGTCTTCATGTATACCTTAGATCCTAATAAATGTTTAAGGTCAAATGTCAACTGCTCCTGGTACTATAGTATCTGGCTAGATACCTGACATTGAATGAAATGTTCCAATAATTTTTTTAAGTCAATAGTGAAGTATTAAAGTCAAGGTCATTAAAACTGTACAGACTTTGGTGTACAAATATCAATTTTTAAACAAAATATAAAATGAAATGAGCCTAAGGACAATGTCCTGTCTACAGCGCTTAGAGTAGTTGTATCAAATTTTTACACTTGATACTAAGATTATATACACAACAACAACAGCACACCTCTGCGTTAATATGATGTCACTTCAAACCTTAAAATGATTGTGGAAATGTAGAATTCAAAATTAATTATAATTTTACATACTTTTTTGTAGGAATGCAAGATACACATCGACACTCTGGTCACAGACAGACATTCCTCAATCGCCAAAACGATGAGAGAAAAGTACCCTGACATTCGACACGAGTATGACATCTGGCATCTTGCCAAAAGCGTACGAAAAAAGTTGGTAAAAGCATGCGGCAAGCATCAAGAAATAAGACCTTGGCAGAAAGCCATCATAAATCACTTTTGGTGGTCTGCTGAAACGTGTAACGGAAGCTACACACAGTTTAAGGTGAGTAATAAGAAATTTTGTAAATATTTTTAGATCCCATTGTTGTTCAGATTAAAAGTTGCAGTTTTATTGATGTGGTAAAAGTGTTTGCTGTAAGTTTTGTAGAAAGCATTGGTGTTTTATCAAGAAACGTTAACCTGTGTTTGAGTTTCGTACTAACATTATTTTGTAATAATATAAAATAAATTACAAACTAATAGACAGGAATGAATCAAATATTTTAACACATATAATTATCAAATATTTTAGCACTTTAAAAAAATACTGTAAATTGAAAAGGTTTTTAAGATGAATGTCTTTTCAGATGCATGTCTTAGTATGGTAATTGTGTGATTGATAAATCTGGTAATGTCATGGATATAGATACAAAAATTTGAGGGTGGTTGTAAAACAGTTAATGGTTGGTGGAAACAAACTTAAATACTTTGAAGGTATTCAGCTGATTTTATGATGGGTATTAAGTTTATTAGGCTGGTGGAAACCCTTGAAATAATCTGTAGACTGGTTGGAAGACCTTGAAGATGGGTGGTTTAATTTTTAACAAATCTGATCTAGCTTATTGTAACTATATTTATTCTTCCATAGGAGAGATGGACGTCCATATTAAGACATATTGTTGATAGGCACGAATGGATTTGCTGTGAAGAATTCCATCAGTGTGAACATGATGAAGTGGACATGTTGAAGCTTTGGTTAACAGAAGGAAGCGATGCTCACAGAGCTCTGCAAGTGATTGTGGCCGAAAACAAATTATTAAAAGACTTGGAACATGTGAGTTAACAATTTGCACTGTTTGTTTAACATTTGTTTTGCAGTGACTTATATCAGAAATTTAAGGAAAGCTACTGGGATGGTAGCGAGTCAAGCAGAACTGTTTATTTCTTGAAGTACTCTAAGAAAAATAATGTCTCGCACTGGGTACATTACCCTTAATAATTTTTTTTTTTTTATCACTACCTCCACCAACAAACTTTGGTGCCCCGAGTTAACAACTTGTTCTTTTTGTTTTTGTTTTTTTTTCAGGCTGTTGAATTCTGCCATACAGGAAATCTGGAGGTGTTTCATAACATGCTCCTAAAGTACATGCCAAAGAGGTCCAGGTTTGGGCAAGAATGTATGATTGCTAGAGGCATGCTGGCAGTTATTGATCACAACCTGAATGTTCATCGTGAACATGGCACATTGTCAGATGGAGGAAAGCAGTACAAGTTGGAGTGGTCTAAAAGATCAAAGCAGTTCGTTGTTAAACGGATCAAAGAGGCAAAAGATTACTCCTTTCGGGAACAACTGATGATCGGAATATTTGAGAGAGCAGTTAATGGTAGGATATATGTGATTTTTAACTGCCATAAATGGTTCCTCATCAGACAACAGTATGTATTCATAATGAGGAGGTGCTGACAACAGTTTACTAGGCTCACACTAAGAAACAGAACGATAACAGTATGGAAGCCAGTTGATTTTATGGCTCTATTATTGTAATAACACTTTCCTAGTTGATATGAATATTTTTTTTAATGTTTAATTCTTCCAACTTTACTATATTGAAATGCTAAAATCTAAGTTTTTCATTTTCTTTTTTATTTTTCTAATAAAAAAGTAGCTCATTGCATTGACACCTTTTTTTATTTACAGATGACAAGAGCAGATCGACACTCATTGACCCTGAGAGTACCACGTTGATAGAAGAACACAAGAAATCTAAGAGGGGAGAGAAGCCTTCAAAGGAAGAAGCAGTAGCTGGTCACATGTCCAGAATGAAATGAAGGCTAGTGTTCTAGTTATAGTGTAGCAGTCAGTTTAAAATGTGGTGTGACCACAGTTATGGGCAGCTGACTTGAAAAAGTTGATTTGTTTGCTTAAGCTGCCCCCGACCTTGTTGGTCTAATAAATAAGTTGAAACTGTATTGTCAATGTCTGCGATCACAATGTACATAACAGGAGTATTAAGACATGTTTTCTATATTGCAATCAATGCACAATGATTGACAATTGCTTCATGTTGCGGTCATAATTCCTTTTACAGTATAATCGCCTATTACAAAAAACCATACATATATTCAGAATTTTCTATTTGTAAATTTAGCTTCCTTTCTGGATACAGGATTTGGTGGTTTTTTTTTTGTACTTTTAGCTTTATTGTCAAACTCGTATTGTATTGGGTGATTAAAAGTAATAAAGGAATAAAAAAAATATATATATATAAAACATTTTTTTTAAATTGGAAAATATGGGATGAAGTTGTGTAGCGTAGGTTTTTTAAACCAAAAAACCTACTTCATAAAATTTTTAAGCTTTAACTGTAAACAAAGATGAATTAAAGGGTATTTAGTATTTTGTATATAGTTTGGACTTGCATATTACTGTATAGAGAAAAAAACAATCTGCATTTGGTATACATTATGTAAACCCAGTTTGACCTGAATCTTTTTAGAAAATAATGATTCTTATGTTGTAACAGTTTTATTTTATAATGCCTGGTTTATACCTATAATATATTGCCTACATGCTTTTAAACTTTTGCTGTTCAATGTAGTATTGCAATTTAAAACAAAACTCCAATTTTTTTTCCCCAGTATTTTGCAAATTTAAATATACAGTATGTTATATACTGTACTGCTTTATTTATTATGTACTGTCTGGAACACATAATAATTTACCATAATTAATAGTAGCTGTGTAGAGTATTTTGAATATGGTAATAGCCTAAGTAAACTTGCCTAACTTGGATAATTTTTAAGTCAATCTTATTTCACATGCCAATTTGTTTGGTTTTCTGTCAATTAACAATCTGAAATCCAAATCAAGTAAAACAATTTATCAATGCCATTTTGGATTCTACTTTTTGTGAGGTTTTAATCCACAAATAAAATATCAATTATTTTCTACAGTTGTATCAAAAGATTTGCCAACAAGTCAAAGAATTCATATTAAATTGTGTATTAAAATGTGTAGAATGCCAAAAAATAATTTATAGCTTCAGAGTTGAAAAATTATCAGAGTTCTTCCATGGTGATACTGTATTCAACATCCTTATTTTGGGTGCTTGACTTGGTACGATTATTACTGTAAATTAAACTTCAAGAATACAGGTGTTACCACAGTAAATAAACATTTTAAAACACAAATTTTACATTTTTGTACGTTGTGAACAATTTATTTCAAGTATATTTTCTCTAAAATATATAATTACTTTACTATACACAGAAAATGAAATGAGCAACACTAAAGCAGTCAGGTATTACAGTAGGCCTATATCACTACAGTTAAAATACTCTATCAAAATATTTAATACAGTATAAATTTACACCAATGTAAAGAATGGGCAATAAAAAGTTACATTTACTGTTACTAGTAGCCTCAATTATAAGACGAGAGCGAGGAAGACAGAGGCAAAATGCATTTGAACATACTGTACATTGCAACCATAAAATATTTTATACCACCATGGTACAACAGAATTTTCAATCTATATCAAGAGCAACAACAAATTTCAATTACACAGCCTAGGCCCAATTGACAGGGTACAGATATGGAAGATGTAGGTCTATGCTGAAAAAATATTCCTTTGTTACCATGAGTGACAAGGGCAACTTTCGCAGAAAAAGAGATAACAGACGTTGCCTAAATTTTTAAGAATGAATCCTTGGAAAAGATCTCTTGCATAACAATTTATAATAATTCTTCCACATGACACATAATTATTCAAACACAAAGTCCATTTCATTATCTGCTACAGCATCAATAAACCCAGTGTAGTCTTCATCAACTGATGGGAACTGGTCTCTAATGGCCCACACAGAGCATGATGGAATGACCCTTCTGTCACGTTTCTTCAGCCTGTTATACACCCACCAAATGAAGCAGCGATAGCCAATATGTCGATAGTTCCTACAAGAAAGAATTCAGAATATTATTCTTACTTTATTCAAAAATAAATTAAATTATTACGCCCCATAAAAAAAAAAATTAGTTTATCACCCTATCAAAGAATAAAAACTGATGAGGGAGGGAGCTTTTTTTTTTTTGCCAACCTCGCCCAAATTTTACCGATGTTCACAAGTAAATCAATGGTTAGGGACACATGTATAAAATGTCAAAAGAATGGAATCAAATTTATATACAAAAAATGTGTTTTTGTTGTACTGTACCAGTAAACATATTTGCAAGAAATCCTGAGCTTTTGAAGTGGAAAAAAATAGAAAAATGACCGTTTGAAATAAAAATTATATGTTGATTGAAAAAAAAAATTAGAATTTCCCCAAAAACGATGAGAGAGGGGGTGATAAACTAATAATTTTTTTTAATGGGGCCTTAATATTGGTATTTAATTAATGATGATCTAAAAGGTTAGGGTGCCGGTTGGAATCAGCCCCACGTTAACCATCACCTTAGGAATTGGTGTAAAGCTGGCCACACTGACCATATTTGTTGAAAATATTTAATAGTATTTAAACATCACTGTAACAAAGTCCCTATTCAAATTTATTGCAAAGTGTGGTGTAACAATACCCACAGCCTAAACAATTATTTGAATAGAATTAATTATTTCACTAGAATACATTATATTGTAGTATTTTATCATAATTGCAGTAAAACAATTACTTTAAAAATTAGATGTTAAGACTCTTTAATCAGTTCAATAGCAATTACTATAGCAAAGAATTGTTTGTTTATTTACCAAGCTTTTCTAATGTAATAATAAGCCCAGGTATTTTGACCATGAAATGACTGGACATTTTACCCTACCATCTGTGGAAATCACACATTGACCTTCAACATCAATTGGATAAGGAGGTATGCAAGCAGGGAGTTGGCCTTGTGAGTAGATAGTTGCTACTGTACTAGTATTACTAGTAATTGCGCAAATGATAACTAAAAAATAAGATCAAATTTGAGCTGGAAATCGCCGGGAAAATACTAACTTCTGCATATATACATTGGTTATATAATAACATTAGATCAAAGCTTAATTTTCGGCAAAATATGCGCGGAAATCGGCCCTTATTGAAGGCCGAATATTTGGGAAGAGGACAGCATTCGGATAGCCTATTCCATGCGCAGCTCTTAAATTGTAAATAAATACTGTCCTTCTTAGGCTAATTGTGTGTGTCTATAATCTTAAAAATAATTATGACAGTTTGTTCTGACTTAGTCTTAGGGCCTATAGATAGGTACGTAGATTAAATACTACGGCCAGCCTAATAGCACTATTACTTATAGTACTTATGCCTGGTTTGGATTGGCTAGGGCCCTACTCCCCTACGCCTAGCTAGAGTAGGCCCCGAGCAGGCCCTACCCCTAGATAAACAAACACTATATGGTGGTTGGGTAACAAACCTGTTATTAAGCTCATCATGATTAATGCCCTCTCCAAGCAGTTCTTTTCTGGAGGCAAACACCACTTCTAAAATCTCCTTGTCCAAACAGACCTTTTTGAAGGATTCATTCTTCAAAATGCAATCGACGTCTGTCATCTTTCTACTGAAATCCTCTCCCTCATGGCAAAAAAGGCATTCTTTTTCTTTCGGCATAGGCCTGCAGTTTCCGCATCTGCACCAGTCAGTATTGTTTAACCTGCTAGGCCTACTACTACTAGAAGAAGACTGTCTTTGAAATTGCTGTTGTTGTTGCTGCTGATGTTGTGGATCCTGTTGTAGAACAGGTTCAAAGGCATAAGCATTTCTTCTCTGTCTTTTTCTCTCTCGTCTTATATTAAAATTTTCCGCCATAACTCATCAAAGGCCCTTTCAATTTTTTCCTCGCGATGATTTCTTGTAATCTCGACAGTTGGCTGTCGTTACCAGCTCGTTACGGTTGAGTGAATCAGCTGACTCCCTATCGCAGCGCAAAAATCCGAAATAAAAACTGGGGCAAATTGTTATTTTACACAAAACTGGGACATTTTCTGAAGCATCAACCTATATAAATGAAAAGAGCGGCCAAATTCACGTCGGAATATCTAAAATTGGGACTCGATTTTTTACGGGGTTACCGATTGCAAGCCGTTGAAAGTCGGTCCATTTTAGGAAATTCCCTATCTTTTAACACTGGCCCAAAATCCTGTAGCACCAGTTTTTTTTTGGGACCCAGTTGACGAGCCTCGTTTTCGAATACCGCGCTCCGATATTAAGTGACGTCGCCGTCATTGTGGTCGCCCAACCCCCTATTTTATATTAAACATTACTTGTCTCATCCCCGCACTTCCCCTTTAAACTATCTGAATAGTAATATCGAGAATTTTCTAATGTTAACAGACACGCACGTCACCATGTGTGCGTGTACAGTAATATCACACAAAATTAAACATTGTCAAGTGTATTTAAAACTGCCTGTTAGTTGGTAATGCCACACGAACTTTCCCTTCACATAACCTATATATATTAGTCTGATAGCGTCGAAATACAGTCTGCCGCCCTCACTCTGCTCTATTGTTTAAATCTTTTAAGAGAGAGAGAGATAAAAGGGCTCCAAAAATTCATTCTTTTTGACCATGTTGACATGATCAAAATGAAAAATAAAGGGACATGTCTTCAAGAGAATTGATTTAGCTATAACATACTCACAGGTGGGTGACAATCAATCAAGAATAAGCGAGATACGTTCAAACGAGTATAAACATAATGGCATCATAAATAAAAATTCAGTTCTTTAATTCAAATGGCAATATGATGACGTCAATATGTCCGATCAGCCATTATGAAGTAAAAAATCGTATCTACAACTCATGTGCTTTCAGATTATGTAATAAAAATTGGGGGTCACCTTTCATCCTAAGGAGCTATAACTGATTAAAAATATTCATGGTTTTATGCATATATAAATGTTGACGCACGCGTACGTGCACGCTAACAAGCACGAATGGAAATTTAAGGTACATAACATTCAACCTTGACCTGAAGCTTATGCTCACCTAATATGATTTAGAAATGACGAATGGTTAAGATTATATGGGGTCATCAACGTTTTAAAAAAAGAGAAATGAGGGGGTCAGAAAAAACAATTTTTTTGACCATGATGACGTCATCAAAATGTAAAAAGGAGTCAAATATATGAAGGAGATTTGTCTCAGCTAAAACATACTCAAAGTTGAAAGACGATCGACCAAGGATAAGCGAGATACGCTCAAATGCGTATTTTCAAAAATGATGTCATAGCTTTAATTCACTTTCTTTGAATTCAGATGCCAATATGATGACGTCACAATGTCCGATCAGCCATTATGATCTATAAAATCATATTTACAACTTATGTGCTTTCAGAATATGTAATAAAATTGGGGGTCACCTTTCAAACTAAAGAGCTATAACTGATTAAAAATAGGTCTGATTTTAGCATATTTTCACTGTATATCGGCACAAATCCGCGCAAAGATACCTATATTTGATGCGTATGTACGGCATTACTATTGGCCAAAAGAAGACCGAAAAGAAATGAAGTTTGTGAAAACAATGTCAGGAACCCAAAATATGTAAAAGAACATAGTATCTAGCTTCCGTACGTGCTGCGCGCGTAGTTAAAAATTAGAAAAAAAATTGAAATGCTCAAAATGGCCTGAAACGTGCTGTAATTTAGTTAAAAAGTGATTTCGAGCATTTTAAAATTTTGACGTACGCGTGCGCAAGCGTTATGAAGCGCACGCGTCAAATTAGGGTACAGTACAGTCAACATTAACCCGAAGTTAATGCTCACTTAATACGATTTCGAAATGGCAATTGGTTAGGCTGATATGATCGATAATGTAAAAACGCAAATTTGCGCGTAGATGACGTCACGCATGACTGAGCGCGTTGAAAAGCTTACCATGACTATTCCAGACCAAGCCAAATGTTCGCTGACAGCAATTGTGCGTAAAACGTGGCATTTTTTAGAGATATCGTGCGAACAGAAAAGGGGAGAAAGAAAGAAGAATAAAAACTAGATTTGAACTCGTCACTGAGGACGAGTTCGGTGATCCGCCGTACTTTGACCCTCATAAAGCTCAGGCGGTGCTGATTGAAAAGTGTCATATATGCTAAAATATGCTTGTAATTAGT